AACTGTGTGAATTTGCTGTTACTCAAAACTACCGAGACGTAAGTAAACGTTAAGGTTTAGTAGGTTTTTCTTTATTTCTTTTCTCATTTTTGGGTACTTCCTGTATCTTTGGGGTGTTTTTTGGGTAACCTTCGGGTAACTTTCTAGTTTTCTCTGCTATATCTCATATACGTTGAATATTATCTAGATATTATTGGGGTTTTTATATTACGGCAGTTAGTATGAATGATTATTATACCAACGGACGTGGGTAAATCACAAACCTATGGGTACGATAGCAGTTCCTAAAAGCTTGCTTAAAATATCCTTATTTGTGTATATCATGAGATGTTGGAGATGTTGCTGCTACTCACTACAGAGAGCTTTTCGTGAAGTTCCCATTCTCATACCAAATGATTAACTGAAATCACAAGTGGAATGACTGAAACGATGTTAATCCTTGGAAGAAATATGCACTTTCGCTAGAAGTTTGTTTTTTTTGGAAGATAGATCGGAACTTTACTCTCTCTTAGGTTATCCAGTCATCGTCCGTCTTAAGATTCAAATGATATTCCGGATCCAGTATATGCGTGTGTTAAAAAACGTTTACAATCTAATCCGTTCAGTCCACCTATCCTTGTTAAACAGGATAGATTGGGCGGAAGCAAATCGTGCGAGTAAAAACGATTTTCTCAAGAATTTCGCTCTTTTTCCTAGAATAATTCGCTTTTTATGCTGTCATTAATGTCGTAACGAGTTCTTAATATTTTATTCGTAAGTTTCTGTTTGCTTGCATATATATATGTATTAATGTGTAGGAAATTTTCCATGTAAAAATAAACAATTTTTTATCTATTAATTTGAAAGAAAGGGAAGTTGTGTATCCCTTTGCTTTAATGTCCCCTCTTTTAATTCTTTATGTCACCTCAATATTGTTTTCCTAATCAAAGAATTTCAAAAATTAACACTAACATATAAAAATCGCATAATTATTTATGCCTTTGCTGTCATTATTAAATATCATTTCGAACCAAATATTGAGTAAATGATAATCAGATAGTTTTTCTTGAAAAATACAATGAGATATTGCTAGCTTTACTTCAAGTAACACTGAAATATCATTGGCCATAGTTGTTTCCAACGTTAACTGTGACTACAGCATATCTAGCTTTACTTCTGCAATAAATTAAGTGGAAAAGAAAGGGACGTTGATTGGACAATAAAATTTAATTAAATCTTCTATGAATAGGAACTGGAAGCATTTAAATAGTGTCACTAAGGCAGTCACCGATAGTATTACCCTGATTTCTTGTAATGATACTTTAAAAAAATAAAGGAAGTGAGGACACTCGATTGAGTTTTTAGTGAATCCTAAACAAAACATAAGTAATGTCGCATAAGGAAAACCATTTAGGTTATCTTTTCGAACTCTGCTGTGATCCTACGCTGCGTGCTGGATTATCTTAAAGCAAAGAATAATTGTTCAAAGTTTATTTATATCCCTTTTTTGGTATCCGAACGAAACTTTAGCTCATATTCCATTCTGCGTTATTTGTAGCACTCATAATGCAAAGTTTTGAGGTCTTGACTTTCTGAATCGAATTTCAACTTATCAAAATCATTTCTGATTTTACTTTCAGTTAATCCTAAATAAAAAATCAAAAACAACAAACTGGTCTACTATTACGAGAGAATCGGAAATAAGTGATCGCGATAAAAGAATTCCAAAAAAGGTACTTCATATTGGATGAGTTATTAAAGGAACAACCATCATGTCTTTTTCATAGATCGGCAGTCTATTTAAGTCTCGATGTCGAGAAAGAAAAAAGCCGAGTGCTTTCATTGATAATAAATGAATGGTCACATAGAGTTTTATGTTCCAGGACAAAGCTTTCTTTGCCGAAAGTACCAAACCGAAAAGCTATCAGTAGATAAGCTTAACTTTATCCTCAATTCGGAAAAGGTGGACTGAAGTTATATCAATAAGGTTGCTCTAGTTTCAAATCTCATAATCTCATACTAGTGATATCATGAGATCTGATTACACAAATTATATCTAAATATATGTTCTAGGATATCTTTAGTTTCAACTCACTGGCGTCCGGCCTGTACATCTTTCATCTTTTTAAGAAACAGTCGTTTTCTCGGTGCTAATATTCTCCAAAATGTGAAGAGTGATATGATCAATTTTAAAATTTGAACAGCGATTTTTAACCTTTATGACCATGTTTGCTTGAAGCACTATCTCCGATAATTTTAATAAATTATTCATGTAAACATTCAGTTCCTCTCTGGACATTTGTTTTTCCTTTTGAGTTATAATACCGAAGAATTTTCGACAATGTTCCACACACATGACTATGTTTACGTTTGGAGACAATAATCCCAAAACACTGAATTGCGATGGACAGATATTTTAAGCGAGATTTTTCATCACTACTGTGCTCATGAAGAGTTTAATTGTCATTTCAAATCATCCGGTGACGGAAATTACGAAGTTTGACGACCGTCTCGATGTAAAATGAATTTGAAATATGTTAGGCAGCATTACAAGTTGCAGTGGTTTTGTTACCAGTTCTGTTAGTTATCCTCTTTATTTTACAGAATAATCGAACTGACGGTGAAACTGGTTGTAGTGGCAATCTGGAGCGGACATCGGTTCGTAGTATCATTGCTGGATATCAGCAAAGGCAGCTTTCGTCGAGACCATCTTATACTGCACAAGGTCAGATTCAAGCTTCTAGTTATTTACTTTCAAATTTGAGTCTTATTGATCAGAATGATTATGAAAAAAAAAATTCTCTGGATTAATTAGTATCCATGTATGTTTATTTGTCACACAAAAAGGCAGTTCGTTTTTTTTCTTGGTTATTATTTGGCCTTCCTGAACAACTCTAATCTTCCTAGCTAACTCGTTCTAGTTAACATGGAATTCGTTTACCGTGATCTGCACTTGTAGACTGTCAAGTTTAGACTTCGATCTTTTTTACCATTTTTTGGAGATTGAAATCGATGAGTTCAGTTCAGGATGCTCATTATTTGCATTAGATAATGAAGTTTATGGATCGCTTCCCAAAACATGGAAAATTGTTTGCAGTGCATGACTGAACTTTTCTTCGTTGTATTATGAAGTTATAAATTTGTTCAAATCAATTCGTCTCATTTCTCTTCTTGGTAAAGAGTGTTGCATAGACTTCTTTTCAAATTCAGCCATTCCAAACTTTTTTCTTTTTTTCATACAGCTGCATTATCTGTGAAGAAAGAACTAATCGATGTTTTTCAAGAAGGGAACCAAATGGTTTAAATTTTCAAAAAAAATAGGATTCCGAAATCCTTCTGTTTTCCATAATCGATTGAAGCGGCTTAATTAAGAGTGCATGCCTGGAATTCGATTAATTAAAACCAGTGATTCAGATCACATTTATTTGAATCGACAGAAATGAGCCATCCCTTGCATAATGGAATACCGGTATCGTCAGTGACATCGATTTTTGTTCAAATGACGTTTTTCGCTGTAAGACCTCTCTAATGCCGCCAACTGTTTGATTCGATTTTGTTCAAATATTCATGTTGATTCATATTACTGCCCAAGTTATTGCATAATTGACAATTTCCTCGGTGTATTTTTCTTCCAATTCATAGTTTTCTAGTTTTCAATTCGAACTTGCTTATTTTTCATAAATTTGCAGGGTTATCTCCCGGGAATTCGGTATTACGAGCTAAGGGAGATATTAGCAGCCAAGTATCGTTGGAACCAGAAGCTGCTGAGGGTGAAGTGCACACGGACGTTTTTGCATCGAATCGAACATCGAACGAATTTCAAAAAGTTTTACCAAGAGCAAACGATATGATGGAAACCAGAAAACCAGTGGCAGTCAGTTGCTTGAAAATAGTTTTGAGATTAAAAAGTTTGCTTCATTACTATTTTTTTACGAAACACAGATAAACTAAAGTGAAAATCTACATTCGTAGTTGGTAGACATAAAGATCACACTCAGCATAACAGCGTTTTTTCTCTTGATTACTGAAACATTTGGTATTCTTGTCGACACAAGCATATGAAATGATTTCAGGCTCCACCGGCACCACCGCTACCACCAGTTCCAACGCATCTGAAAAGTTCCCAGCTGAAGTTATTAAACGGTAACACTGGATCCTCACCGACATCACCAAGTTTTTCCAATGGCGTCCACAAGAAGACACCAACAACTGTTACTTCAGGTTCGACCCAAGATTCTAGCAGGCTTGAAGCGGTGGATGCAAAGTTCATCTCAACAGGCACGGTTTCTCGTTTCCCATCTGGTTGCTTCCCGCAACATCTTTGCTGTATCTCTCCTAGACATAAGAAGAGTGTAACTGTAGAGGATACGTCACTCACTGCTAAGATCCGTGAGCATTACGGTCTCTTATATAAAACTGTTGCTAACAATGAAATAAGGAGTGCCTTTCTTCTGCGGGAAAAAGAAAATACGTATTTTGTAATACGTATTTTATATTACAAAATACGTATTTTCGTATTTTCGAAAATACGTATTTTGGATTTGTAATCAGATAAAAGAAGGTTCATCCTCATCTGATCTCGTTATTAATTGAAAAAAAAATCACTTTAGAGCTAGGATAGCATGCTACCGGTTTAGAATTAAAGCTGCTTTAAAATGATGAAATTATTTTGGAAATGACAAAAGCTTTTAAAACTCTACCTTTTTTTGCTGAAAATTTCTGATACTTTTGCAGAAAAGCTTAGTGTGTCTGGTTCTGGTAATACCACAGAGGAATTTCGAACGCTGAAATTGAACGGACATGTTGGATTTGATTCGCTTCCACATCAGCTGGTTCGGAAATGCACTGAACGAGGGTAATTATAAAAACCGTTACATTTAATTCCCTGAAAAAATTCTCACCCTCAATTGCTCAAAATATTGTATTAACTGAAGGGGTTTTTTGAAATTTCCATGCATTGTTTGATCTATACAGAAAGCTACGTATAGTTCAAATCATTAATGGATGAATGATTCATTTTTTCTTGTTTAAATTATGTAGAAGATTTTTAGGTTTCAGTTCAATTTGATGTGCGTTGGTGAAACCGGTATGGGTAAAACAACACTGATCGAATCTCTATTTAATATGAAGCTTGAATTTCGTCCCTGTAATAATGAACTTAAGACTGTGGAACTGCTTTCAAGGACTTATGGTAAACATTTTCATAACGTCATCCTGTTCATAACATGTTCCATTTCTAATGTTACTTGTATTCAGATGTTGTGGAAGGTGGAATCAGGCTGAAGTTGACCATTGTTGAAACAGCTGGATTTGGTGATCAGCTTGACAAAGACAGAAGGTTGGTGGTATGCAATAGTAGCTACACGTACATTTTTTATACAAATTTATTTGTGTAAATATAGCCATCACTCTTTTGTTACTCTTAAAATATAGCAAATGATAGCAACTAATATTATTAGCTATTCATTTGCCATGGCTTTAGTTACTCAAACCAAATCTCAAGAAAGAGCAGATATTGCAGGTTTGCTTGAAATAAGGAAAATTTTAAACATGAGTAAAGAGTACAGAAATGTTCTCTGCCAGCTAAGCTTTATACCAAGAGTTACGCTTTCTTTTTTTAGCATTAATGTTACAACACTTCGATATTTCTCGAAGTAACATAGTTATAAGTAATGACATCGAGGAGCATTAAGACATGCAACGTGTTACTGGCTCATTTGAATTTACCTATTAAAACTAGTCTTATTCCTACACCGATATCTATGACTCACGGTGAATGGATAATTCTGTTCACATTGAAACGAAATAAAAATTTGTAAATAGATAATTAGATTATCCCATATCAAAAGTGTGGTATGAAAATATCTGCATAAGCAATCATTTCAGTGCTCAGGTAATCGTTGATTTCATTAATGAGCAATTCGAGAAGTATTTGAAGGAAGAGTTGAAAATCAAACGTTGTTTGGATTATTATGATGATACACGTATCCACGCTTGTCTTTACTTTATATCGCCTACAGGACATGGGTCTGTATAATCATTTTTCGTTATTAAAATGAAAATCAAACGTTGTTTGATCTCATCAGGGAAACTAGCGAATTTTTTTAGCTAAGGAATTAAGTAGTTTTATCAGGTCTTTTTATATAAAGAAAGGTGAATTAACATAGTTATATAAATTGACTTTGTATGACAGAACATCATTTTTCCCAACTTTATTTTTTCACTTTTTCTCAGCATGTGTCAAGTGGTTGGAAACAATCAATCGTATTTTTTTGATCATATTTAATGGCATACCTTTGTGAAGGATTTTGTAAATTGCATTTTCAGTTTTTCGTTTCCCAAGAAAGACGATCATTATGTCCGTTTGCCCATCTATGTTTGAATCACTTGTCAGTTTTTTCCAAATGCCGAACAAATTAATCTTTAACATAATGGGTTCTTCCTTCCTCTTTCCTTTTCCACTTTCAGTTTCGATATGTTGTCGAAATTTCCTATCCATTTATCTTCGTAGAATTTTTTATTCCTCTTATTTCAAGGTTGAAAGATCTTTTTCTGTTGCTTTATCTGTTACTATAACTGTAAACTACGCTGTTAGTCGAAATTGTGAATGTATTTCCTTGATTCAGCTTACACTGACCGCGTTAATAATCGTATTAAATAGACTGAAAGATTTAGCCCAGCAGTCATCCATTCTGAATGACTGTTATTTCAATCTTCATAGCATATCAGTAACCGAAGTTTTAGTACTAGCTATGACGATAATTTGGCCTTGCCTCAAGTAATGCCTATTAAGTAAACTTTGAAATTTTGTCCGAAGAAATAATCTATTCCAAATAACGATATAAGGTAAGTAGTGTTGGTCTCCGTCCATATTATTTAATCGTGAAAAAGAAGAATGATTAAGTGCTAATTTACTGAGCTGCATACCTCGTTCGAACCATTTGTGGCCAAGACGCTTGATTAGGATATATTTTGCTTGAAAATCTTTTCCAAGGTCATTGACATTCCGATCATCCACTGTTTGTTCTGATGGACAATGTGTTATTAGATGCCAAAACAAAATATATCATAGGTTCGATATCTTTGTTAAAAATATGGCTATGTTTTAACCACTGACGTTTTATTGAGCAGATGCATTGAATAGAATGGTTTAAGATTATGCACTTCTGGATTTGTCGAAAACTTATTGTGTTACGTGGATGAACTTGTTTTTGGGGTATGCTTATCTAGTAAAACGATGAGGATTTAATGAAAAGAATTTTGAATCGCCAACACCAAAGAACCTCCCCTCTTTCTTTTTTTAGACTTCTATTTCTTCCCAATGATTTATGCCGTTTTATTCCCTGCCATCTGGCTTTATTGTCCTTATGGTGCAGATGGCTATCGTTTTCCATCTGCCGTATTTCATTGTTTTTTTTTTTGGTAAAATATTACCATTCTCCTTTTCTTTCCCTCCTTCTCTTCCTCGTTTTCGTAATTTAAATATTTAACTGAGCTACTTTGTTGCCTCTTTGGAAGGAAGAAGGCGAAGCGGAATAAAGAAAAACCTCTTCCATCATATATTTCGGCTTTTCTCTATTTGGTTTTCTTATACAAAGCAACCGGTTCTTCGGATGCTTTAAATGTGATCTTGTCACATTAAAATAGTAAGACTCATACTAGTAGTACTTTTTTTATTGCAGCAGTCATGGTTTTGAACAATAGTATGGCGATTTCAGTACTCACATTTCCACTCTCCCTTCACTTCCTTTCTTCATTTGGCTTTTTTGTGAGACTAAAGAAATCGGATCTTGCCGAAAGATCACTCTTTTTTTTCCTTTTTAAAAATGCCGGGACAGAATTTCGGCGTTTCTTCTTTTTCTAATCAATAAAGCTTTCATATATCTTTTAGTAAGATAGGTGAAGTCTTCGGGGAATATATTTTTCGAAATTCCTCTCAGTCCTATAGTTAAAGACTGTTAGTTCTGTTTTCTAGACAATCATAATAACAATTCTTTGCGGTATTTATGTTACGAGAATCATATGTCGATGAACCGTATAATGACTTGCACTTAGCAATGCATTGTGAAGAGGGTTTGATACTGTGTTATATTACACTTTACTGTCCTTTATTTTTTTCCGTTCCTCCAGAAAAAAAAAGGAATGAAGCTCTGTCTTTCTCCCTATTTTTTGTAGTCCTTGGTATTTCGTTTTGGCAAGAGCCATACCGAATGTTGCTGGAGGAGGGATCGCATACTAATTTTTTTTCTTCCTTCTGCATCATTATTTTATTGTCTCTTGTGTGTAGTATCGTTTTGTGTCGTTCTGTTCTGTTGCATTGTGGGATTCTACTTTGGCGGTGATCCATCCAATCATGGCATGGCATTGCATTGCATTAGTACTTATCCATTTTCACTAGCTTCGATTTATGTTTTCGATAACAAAGTATTGCTATAAGCGGAATGAGATTGAAGTACTATTGATGATGAATAATTGCTTCATATTTTTTGTGATCAATTAATGGTCAGCATGTGCGAAATTGTAGTTTTGGCATTCTTTCCCAAAGGTAACAATTAAAAATAAGATGGACGAGGAAAATATCTTCCTGAAAGCTGATAGTTGCATCAACGGAGTGTTTATTTATTGTGCTGTTCGGGACGACGTGGGGAACTTCACTTCAGCATGTGTAGGTAACCAAAGAATGGCTGTAAAAGGGAATGTTGATGAGTAGCTTCTTTAAAATCATTCAAATATTATGTGAAATTGCGGAAATCTTAGTAAATTTCGCGACGAAAAGTGTAAATCTTGACTATATTAATACAAGTTTTAATTGTAGCCTCCTATTCTACTTTGCTGTTAGGGTATAGCGATTTATTTATGAAACTGAATTGGAATTCAGTTTATTCGTGATTATTGCGTATTTCTTACTGATTTCTTTTTGAAATGGGCATTTGTTTCATAGCATTTCTTGTGGGGAATATTCTTAATCTTCCATTTGTTGAATGGTTAAAATTAATGTCGTTTTATTTTGATTCCTTTTTTAACTCTTCCTTTTCTTTATCACCCATTACCGTACTGTTGCGGTAATAGTGATTTTGTTAGAAATGGAGAAATGTCAGAGATACTATTTAGCAAAGATCACTTTGTAATTATATGAAATTCGGCCTTATAATATCGTCCCCAATCTTGATCGTTCTGCTGCTGCAGTTGCTATTAGATGTAGCTTTATCGTTTAATTCGTTGTCCTTTATGATAGGTTGTTTTTATTTATCCACATTTCCATAATGACTAAAGTTAGTCTTCAGAAATGTTATGGAGGGACCTTGATTATTTCTCCATACTTTCAATCGTTTCTGACAAGCGTTCCATCCTAAAATTTGGTTGTTTGAACAAACAAATTGACTTGGATAAACATTTTGATAATTAAGGTCATAAATCACTTCCAAAATGCGCTATACTATCATAGGTAGTGCGTTCTCTCGAAATGACCTAAAATCCGACCATTCTGCATAAACAATAGTATGTACAGCTATAAAATATATCGTAAACGGAAATATATTACCATTATTTCCAGTTCGAGTTTTATCTGGTAAATATGATCGCATTATTCCTTTTTTATTTTCGTCTTTTAACAATCAAATTTTTGGGAATTTACTGTTGCAATAAATTTCTGCAAAACGCTCCACAATATTCTTTTTTCTAAGTATTTATTGATCTTGTTGCCTTTAAATATATGTTGCATCATGTCATTTACGAAAATATAATCTGAGACCTTATATGATGATTAAAATTTCATACATGTATCCCTTTCTAAATTATTTTCATAGTTTTGGAAGATGATAGAAAAAGAAATAGAAGTATGTGGATTCAAAGATATTAAAATTCAGGTCCTGTTTCACTGAGTTTTTTCCTGACTGAAATTCATTGAGGTTTTCTAAAGTATCATAAGTGTACTAGTTCTCAGTCCTCTTTAGTGCATTTAGTCAGATTCTTCTACGGTATGTAAATTTGAACTTTTTTTAAAATAATTATTTTTTCCTTTTCAGGCTTAAAGCACTCGATGTTGTAACACTGCAACGACTTGCAGAACGGGTCAACGTCATACCCGTCATTGCAAAAGCTGATACCACCTGCAAAGATGAACTGATAAGATTTAAAAGCAAAGTATATTATTACTCTTTTCATATAAATCATATATTTAAAATTTATCGTTACTCGGCTCATCACAAACTACATTTTCGTGATGTTAATGGTCTTCCCTAATTCCTTGCCTATGATTATTTTAAAGCTTTTTTCATTCTGGGCAATTTCACACTTGATAACATTCTTGAGTATGGATGCGATTTCGTAGCGCATCGTGAGCATCATTCCCTTTCTCTAACGAGTTAGAGATTCATATTTTCTGTTAAGCTATCATTACTTATTTTATGATAAAATTGTGGCTGGATGAAAAAATGCTTGAACGGAGGATATGATATTGGGGAGGGAGAGGGGGAAGGGGGAAAAGACTACCAGTGGAAGAGACGCGCTACATTGAATGCTGAAAGTTTTTTCATACACTGCTGTGCTTTTTTTTTCTTTTTATACTGCTATTAGTCCGGAAAATTATTTATTTCCTTTAAGTTTTCATTGTCCAATAATTTTTTTTTCTAGATTTTAAGCGAGTTGCGAAGCCATAATATTTCCATCTATCAGTTTCCGACTGACGACGAGACGGTACGAGCAATAAATACGGAATTAAATCAGCTTGTGCCATATGCTGTCGTGGGCAGTACTGATTTTGTAAAGAAAGAGAACGGCAAGATGGTTCGAGCACGTCGATATCCGTGGGGAATGGTTGAAGGTATTGTTTTTCGTTTCTCAAATATCCACAAATTTGCATGGAATGCAAAACGCCAATCTTTGGTACAGCAGTTATTGAAATTAAAGGACAACTAAAATAACCTGATCAATGGGAAGATTAAACAAAAGTTTGGAACATTGATGTGGTGATTTCAAGACGAAAAGCTCTAGTCACTCGGAAACTCCTTACCATGTTAGCAAAACGACGTTTTGGATTTTTAAGCCATTTTAGTTCCGAAACAGATCTACTCCTAATTGACTGAAGTAAGCACTTTTTCGACAGTTTAAAATATAATTTCAAAGTGTAGTCGAAAACGAGGAACACTGTGATTTCGTCAAATTACGTGAGGCAGTATTGCGCACAAACGTGGATGCATTGCGTGAGCGAACACACAGAGTGCTGTATGAAGCATACCGTCGTGAACGTTTGCGTGCAATGAAAGTTGGTGATGGTGATACAGGACCTAAAATGATGGAAGCTTTCGCACAGGTACTCTTGCATTTCACAAATTACCTGCACTGTTTCCTTTTTCCCATCTCGAATGCCTTAAATAGTAACGGAATCGAGTACCACCTAAACACTTTCCAATATCATTTAATAAAGTATAAGGTCCCGTACCACCACTTTGAATTGTGAATTATCATTCTGCATTTCATAACGATATTAGGTAAGTTCGAGAACATTAGGGTGTTCTTTTTCTTTTTTCAATCCACAAAAGCGGGTGAAATACTCAGCAAAGAAGCAATCACTAGAGAAGAAAAATCGATGTAGATTAGAGTGGGACAAATCCAGGTTTAGTTGAATACGGGATTCTGTTTGGATGACTTCTTTCAACTTTATAATATTTATCTTGAACGATCTCGTTGCTAAAATCTTTTCATTTGGTGACAACATGACTATTTACAGAAGCAACGTGAATTCATTGATGAAATGACAAATAGGGATAAGATTTTACGCGATGAATTCGTTGCACGAGTCAATAAGAAGGAAGAGGAAATGAAAAGGAGAGAAGAATTGGTTGGTTCTTTTTTTTAAAGCTGTCTCAAAAAACTCCTGTCTAAAGACAATGTCACGGAAAGTTGATTAGTTTCTCTTTTTGCATGAATTTTTCCTTCCTTTTGGATTTAAAATTTGATGAGGTTTTTTCACCAGTGCCTTTTTCCTAGAAATTTTACAAATTGCTTTGACTCTTTTTAATGAAATTTTTCTGTACGTTTCAGCTAAATTTACGAACCAAAGAGATTAGCGATAATTTTGAGGAAGAATTACGACGTATCGAATCACAAATGCATACATTGTTGGACGAAAAAGCGAAATATGAATTGAAAACAGCTGGGAAGAAAGCGAAAAAGTAAATGTGAGACAGAATCATTTCTAGTACATTCCATCTGTTATTGTTTCTCTCATCTTCCACATGCGTTTCTTTCTCTTGTACTTCTTTACACAAACAGCATTTTGATATGAGACATTTTTGTCCTGCTATCCTGACAGTCATATGTGCAGGTTTCATTTAATAGAAAAAGTTGGATTTTTTTCTTGCGCTTGTTTTTTATTTTTATGGGACTATTTTGTTTCGATAAACCCTATAAATGATTTTACTAGAATTCAACTTGCCGATTGAGGTCGTGCCGTAGAATTTTTCTCATTTGAAGATGAAATTGAATTGGAGTGGATTTATTCGGTGTTTATGAGAATTGTTAGTATTTTGAAGTATTTTGATTGTTGGAGCAGGGGATGAGTCAGGTGGATGTTTCGTTCTATCATTTTCGATGCTTAAAATAGGACAAATTAATACAAAATTCATGTAATTTTCTTTTTCATTGGAGTTTGGTCAACAAAAGAAATAGCAAGTATCACTATTTTATGATGGATGTTTCAATTCGACCTCATTATCGAGCGTTCAGTCGGAAACTGTACGATCGATTCTTTTAGTCATGGGAGTTTGTTTCTTTGTTGTATTTTCCTCATTTTTGTTTTTATCTTGTTTTCTTTGCTGGGATTTGTTATTAGATATGTATGACTTCAGTTTAAAGTTGCGGTCGAGAATTTTGTTCTGTCAATATTAGTTTGTGGAATTGAAAAGTATGGATTAAGGCAGCATAATATTTGTTTGCGGAGTATCTCTTAAAATTTTTAAATTTTTTGCATCATTTGATTTTGGTTCTTTTATAAAGTAGAGTTCTTTTTATGTGTTAGTTTTTGCTAAAATTCTTGTAATTCCTGGAAATTACGAAGAAATTGAGTTAATTCGCATCTTTGGCAATTCCCAAAACAGTTTCGATTCAGGTAATCCTTGAGAATGAATGAAATTTTGGATAGTTCAGTGGCGTTTTACTTGCTTATCTCTGCTATGAATGTTAGATATTCTTAGGGCAATTATGCTTATTTTTTGATAATTAGTAAAAGGAAATATATGTATTGATTCAGGTTGTATATTCTTTTTACACGTTCGACAATTTTCCGAAAGTGGTGGGGGGAGTTCTCATTTCTGTTCTCATCTTTGCTTTCAAAATTATGTCATGTTTTGAGGGGGATTTATGAAGGATATTTTATGTGTATTTTAACTTCTCCATTTAATTCCAGTACAGGTGAGGGTGGAGAAGCTATCGTCGCTTTTCTCGAGTTTTATTTTATTTGTTTTTGTTTTTTTTTTTTTTTTACGACGAATTGTATTGTAAGTAAAGAAAAGGGTTGGATCGAAATCGGATTTTTTGAAACGTCTGATGGTATTGGGTTAGTTCCAAGCTGTTGGTAACCAACTGATAGATCCGATTTCGTTACAGCCAATGATTTTTTTGCTTATTCAAAGTGAAACACACATCGTGTTTCCATGATTTTGAATTCGACATTATCACGAGAATTTCCTTTTTACTGATCGTTTTATCTGCATGTTCAGCTATCATTTCTCCTTGTATCAAATGAAGGTTAATATTTGATTTGCAAAAATGGAATGTTTTGTTATCGAATATTTGAATCATGTCAGTTTTTCTTCGGATATCCCATTTTTAGCCAAAATTTATCCTCTTAATCCTTGTTAAGAGTACTTTTGATAGTTTTTAATTATGGGGTTCTTTTGGACTTCTTTCGCTGAATCATTTGTTTATTCACGACACTTGTAAATATTCTTTAGAAGGAACGGGGAATCCAGGATTTCTATAGTAAATAGGAATCTTAAGGTCATGGTTTTTAATCCTTCAACAGTTTTTCAGTTGATCACAGTAACCCTCTGTACCGTTTCGACGAACATTTAATTTAAAAAAAGATTTCTTGTTTATTTCCCGTCTAATCTAACTGCGCTACAGATCTTTTTCTGTCTCATTCGAAGTTTCCCTTTAATTATAAATTTTCGCAATGTTGAAGAATACTAAGCTAATGCTAGATATGTGAGAAAGGATTATTCTGTGTCATTTTACTTCATTCTTTATTACATTGCCTTTTCCGTTTCTCTGTTTAATATTTCGTTTATTTCTTATCGTTCTAACTGTTGCTGTCTAGAACGAAATTTCTATGTGGACGTGTACTTATAAAGGAATTCAAATCCTGTTAGGACGAAACAGAATCTATTATCTCTCCTCAAATCTTCGTTGCAGACATGAAAGAAATTTGCAGCTATCATCAAAACATCTGCCTAATTTTCTTCCACAACTGAAATTTGTTCTTATAGGTCATTTGCATTCATCAGTGATAATGCGCATCTGTCCCACGAGTGGTATATGCCGTATTTCTTGAGCTTTTTATCCAAGATGTGGGTAATTTCTAGTAATAAGCTAAGCGGCATGCAAAACAAGTCAATTTCATGCTACATTCATTTGCTATGGACATTAACAAAGATAGCAAATGAGTGAACAAAGGCTGTGAGAAAATGGTACTGTAGAAAATCATCGAAAAGGGAGTAACGCCCGCACATATTTGTTTTTTGCCAACGTAACATTCGCTTAGGGTGAAGTTTGGTTAATATATCATTGCGGAGTAGAGAGTGTCATTTTAGCGCTTATCATTTTCTGGTGTTATCGGATTTCACATCATCAACAGACGAACACTAAGACATTCTACCTTTCTCCAACAATTCTGGCCTTCCATTGGTCCATTTGCTAAGATTCGTGCATGTTCGAAGTTTCGGACAATGTTGTTGTCGATTGCACTTCATCTTTCTTTGATTCAGATTCTCGGTCTAAGAGAACTGTTCGATTGGCTTTCTTGTCAATCTCTGCCGGTAATTCTATTTTTCCAGATTGTCGCCTTAGCTTTAGTTTATAGTCATTTACCGATTGTTGATTATAATTATTGACCTGTTTTTCTTGTCCGCTGGAGTATATTTCGATGTTTTGTCCATTAGATGTTTCGGCTACTTGTGGACTGAATGATTCTTTTCCCGTTTCATGATCAACACTCTGAAATAATGAATTCATCAAAATTGAGGAAGAATTAGATAGAATCAACAATGAATTAACATTTAATGTTTAAGCCGGGCTGTATATTCAACTCTTCCATTCATAATTAATCTTCAGGTAATCCATTAAGTCTTCAGGTAATTTTGGCTCTGTCCTTATTTTCAATAATTTTGTAAAACATCAAAGCGTATTTAATGCAGTCCTTCGGAAATTGCAAGAAAGCCAGGAGAAACGTATCGTACACTGACCGCAAGCCGAAGTCTGCCTAACTAGGGACAGCAACAAATCTATTGACCTGAAGTCGACCTGCTCAACCGGATACGTAGGTCTATTGAATGTTCATTGACCAGAAATCAAACTAATCGCTGCCACTGTGATCATCTTTTTCAATATATCTCCTTCCTTTTTTTAGCATATGCAAAATGCACTGTCGCTAATTTGAGTGATTGATACCGTTCCATGAAATAACCGAGAAACCCGAGTGGTCATAGCCCATAATGTTCACATAATGACAATATATGGATTGAAAGATTTGATAAATTCTCAAAAGCTACGAAAAGTATGCTGCTAAAGTATTACCAGTAATAATACATTTGTAGAAATGATAACTGATAAGCAAACCTGATTCATGTATCGATAACATAGCGTATAAAATTTACTTGCACATCCTTCCTCATTGCGTTCAGCTAGCAAATATACACAAACACAGTCAGGATCATTTGCAGAACCTTCTAAAGTTTGTCCACAACTTTTATCAGTATCATTATGTGGTAATGAGTGCAGCAACGGATTAAGTGGTGGACACCTGCCTGGCTAAAATTTCAATTTTATATCTCTTCTACCAATGTCGGATGATACAAAGCCGTTCAGATGGTATAGATATTTCCGGTACCGGATTTTGTAATATCTTGGTTAGAATTAGTTCAATTTCAAAAGAAAAGGGAGTGTTTGATCATAACAATTCAAAATTTTACCACTGGAAGACCGTTTTTTTCCTGCTCTTCCTTTTCAACAGCTGCTAAGGGGGCATATTGTGGTTCAACTTCACTGCTCGGTTTCACATTGACGGCATCATATGGCGAAGATGATGAATCCTTTTGCATTTCAGGGATCTTTTCGACGGTATTTGCTGGCTGAGATTGGTAATTGGATGGCGCTGTTTGCAGGCCGACACCATAGCCTGCTATTGATGCATTAGGCCCATTAATTTCCGAATATAATGATGTTGTATTAGATGAATGACAGTCCTTTTTTTCGTCATTCGACCCAATTTGATTCATTCTTTCCTTTGGATTTTTCGATTCTCTTTTAAATTGATCGTGGAAATATCTTCCAATTTCTTCGGATAACTTAAAATAATGTGAAGCTATGTGAAGAGGAATTGGTCTTTTTGCCAGTTTGTTAGAACTTCCTTGAATGTTCCTTTCAAGTAGCGGAGATTTTGTTTTATATTCGAAGTCTGAATCAGATTTCAGACCCGAATTCCATTGATAAATCAATTTCGAATCATCTATATTTCCGTCTTTGACAATCGATTCTATTTTCTGTTTGTCCATAACTGTTCTTTCGGCTCCTTTTTTGATGAATTGAGTTGCTTCCGGAAGATTTAAGGCATGATTAGAGTTAAACTGTCCGTTGAGACGAATCCATTTGGAAACAATATTTTCTCTTAATTCATTTCTTGCGGTACCAAAATCGAATTTTAAGTCTTTTCCTTCTGGAAAACTTTTCATATTTTTCATACATGTTCAAAGTGCTATTAAAATTAATGGTAATGAGTAATAATAACAGTAGTAGTGGTATACGTATAACGGCATGAAGTGTCATAATTATTGGCATACGTATAATCATCGATCCTTTTGACTTTTATTATTAATAACTTACCGTTCAACCTAATTTCGGATTTCAGGCCATCATGTGGTTCAAGTTTCTCCCAATATTTGATGTCTGAAAATTACGACAGAATTTGAAAGATTATCATTAAGATGACCTTAAAA